CTCTATCGACTGAGCTAACCAGGCGCCCATTTTGTGTGTTTTTTAAAGTCCGTTGTTGCTTATGATTTATTGTTTGCTTCTTTTTACTGTTATATGGTATATTGAATACACTTTGCTTACTTATTGTTAATGTTGTAGTCTATGTAAGGCCAGGCCAACTGCTGTAACAAAATTCTAAATTCCAAACTAAATTTATCATATATCAGTTCTAAAAATGAGCACTAACACCTTTTGAGGGCAAATAAGAAGTACATTTAAAAAAACAGTGTGGTAAATAACATCCGCATTTCGTCTATTTCCTGTATACACAATATTTTAGGTCATAATCATGTAATACCATGCAATCATCTCCTCTCAGACAAACAGTGCACTCTTTTGGCACTGTAGTACTGCAGCTGTTGAGGTTCAGATCACTTACAGTGGGTTTAAGAAGGGTATTGGTCAAAGATTTGCTCTTGACACACTACAGACTCAGTGCTGTAACTTCAGCAAGTCACAGGATGGCAGCAATGTCTTTTCTGCTCAGTCAGAAGCAAACTCTCCATCAAATAAATTCAAAACAGTGTTGTAGACAAAGGTCAATGCCTGATAGATGTTCTGTTTCTGTTACCCGACTACAATTACATCTACAGTAACTACATGTCATTGAAACAGATACTATAATTTGCAAAACTGAAATAAAATGTATTAAACATAATAGGAAATAATAGGAAACATAGGCATCTAATCGCCCCCCAAATTTAACTGCTTCTTGTTGAAAATCATAATAAAAAAAAAGAACACTGTGTGTAACTAGCCTATTGGTTAGCTTCCTGAGAGTAACAGCACCAAACCAAAAACCACAACAATGACTCCTCATGCTCTGTTCAACAATAACAACATAGTAACAAGTTATTTTCTTCTGACCCATTCTAAGGGGCAAATATGTCAATATCTCCTCATACATAACCAGTCTAAAATCCAATGTACATTGCAACTAAGAGATGCCACAAAAGTAGAATATGAAACCCACCACACCCTCATTGCAGTCTGAACCTGTCTCTGTTTACACATGAGAAGAGATATAGAGACTACACCAACTAGCAGTAATGGAAAAAAAAAAGAATTAGTTTCACACTAGCGATTAATAAACACCAGTTGAACAATTTCCATTCTGAACATTCCCATGGTGTGAGGTATCAAACAGAACAATATACTGAGATAGATGTATTCTTTAGATACAACATGTCATGGGTTAGTTGTGGGGATTGGTGAAAAACATTTAAACAATCTTAATAAACCTCAGACAGCCTACTTCCTGTTGGAACCCAACAAGTGTGAATGTGCTTTATAACCACACAATAGCCACTATAGATAGTTATACTAGTGTGTTACAAAAACAGGAAAATGTGTCTCACTTTAATAGTGCTTAAAAAGTGCTTACATTTACTAAGATTAAACATGCCTGGTACTGAAAATTCAGAAAAGTTGTCATTATTATTAGTATTAGTATTCTCTGGTAAATTAATCCTCACATTAATGTAATGTGTAAATTGTTTGTAGTCGACGGACTGAAACATCAGTATGGTGCTTTGTATAGTAGTATAGTATGGTATAGTTTAGTGTATATAGTATAATGTGTTCTGCCTCTGCTGTGTCCTGTGTCCTGTTCCAGGTACCGCCCTCCCCTCCGACTGGTCAGGCACACCTGCAGTAGTTTTAGCAATGATGTCGATTGCTTTAAAACAAAGACAGCAGAAGCAGATGAGGCCAGTGGGCCAAACTGCTAGATAGCGGTGTGTGCTTTGTGTGGTTTGTGCGTGTGCGTGCGTGCGTGCGTGTGCGTGTGTGTGTGTGTGTGTGTGTGTGTGCGCGTCCCTCAGTGGAGGGAGAGCTTTGTTCATGTTTATTTGTTGGATTAGTGTTTGGTTAAATACAGACACACACAGAAAATGT